CATTCTTGGTTAAGGATGTTCTCTTAGATTCCTCTTGATCTTACCAGCAGCAGATGTGGAGAACACTTCATGGCACCCCTCCTCAATTAAGTGTGGATTCCCAGTGATTCACGGAGGTGACCCACCAGCCTGCCAACAACCCCAGAGAAGAGTTTCTTGCTTGCCAGACCCAGCCAAGGTTCCCTGTTGGCCAGCCTAGGCAGCCTGTACCCACCGCACCGCCCACCCCATAATTCCTGCTTGCTCAGCAGGTGTCGAACAGCCCTAGCCTAGGACACTGAACTTCCTCACCACCAAGTGAGCCACAACTAAACCTGCAAGAGGATCTGAAGCCCAGTCTTGGGCGGATCCATCTTCCAAATTTGTTTCTTTCTTAGGTAATTCCTTCAGCCACAGGGTATTTTCTAGAGTTTTCTTTACTTCCGCATAATCCCCTGTTACAGGTAAAGTACTTGCTGTAAGATTAACAAATGGGTTGGGGGATAAGAGACTACCAGTGTAAATGAATTTTTTAAAGGGTCATTAATGAAGCCAACTGGGGGACTAGATGCAAGCAAGAGCTTAATAGCATGAGTTGTTCCTCCCTTTTAAAAGATGGTCAACCTGGGAAACAAAGTTTGCAATTACTGAAATCACTTGCCAATAATCTATGGTGGGTACAGTCATGGAACCTAGAGAAAGTTACATTGCAGCTAAAAACAACAGAATAGAGAACAGCTTCCAGATACCATTTTTTAATTACAGTATCCAAGTGAGGATATAAAACCTTAGAACAAACCATCCCGAAATAGAGCAGCTTCATGGACTCTTTACATGGTGCAGTTCCACAAGGATCATCCTACCTATCTGCTCATCTGCCCATGGATCTGGAGGTGATGAGATTTCTCATGCTGCTCTGGGGGGAACCCCATCTGCCCAAACAAAAATGAGAAAAAGAGCTATCTCACTCTCCACTTCATTTCTCCTTTATTCCTTCTTAATCAGAGGTGGGGCAGGAATAGGAAAGAAAACACACTATTTAAAATAATGTTTTTGCTTTTTATTCTTTGATTTTAAATGCTCTTGTGCAAAGATTCTCTTACAAATGTGGAATCTCAGTTTGAGTTTTGGAAATAATAACCCTATTTACCCCTTAAACTTTCATATTGATTTTAATTGGATTCTTTTGTGTATGTATATATATGTATATGTATATGTTTTTATTGAAGCATAGTGTACAAAGTGTCAATTTCTGGTGTACAGATTAATGCTTCAGTCATACATGACTGTTTTGTTTTCATATTCTTCTTCACCATAAGTTACTCTAAGATATTGAATACAGTTCCCTGTGCTATACAGTATGAACTTGCTGTTTATCGGATTTTGTAAGAATCCTCTTGTATTCGAAGCGAGAGATACTCTACCAGAGTTCAGTAGGTGTTATGTGATATTCAGTGGGTTTGTAGATGTAATTCTTGTATTTGTGGGAGAGAGCGAGCTGTGAGTCTCTTTACTCTGCCATCTTGGCATCTCCTTTTAACTGGATTCTTACTGGTAAAAAATTGGTATGTGTGTTTATGTATGTGTGTGTCTGTCTCTGTGTGTGTATTTATGGGAAAGATGATTTGCTCCAGGCTATGTGCCCCTCTTATCCATAATTCAGTTTTGTTTTATGTTTTGTTAGTAAAAACATAAAACTCCTGCTCTTTAAGCTATCCTATCTGACAGCTGCATCTTTTCTGGATGTTTCTGTTCAAACAGAATACGCGGGAGTGCGTCCTTGTCCCTACCCTGATAAACATTGCTCTTTCATATTTCTAGGAGAGAAAACAAAATTTTTCACCAAATTCCTTTAGATTTGCACATACTGGATACACAGGCTGCTGATGTAAATCTACAAAGAAGGGACATATGTTTTCCTTTGTGGGACTGTTTATTACATAAACATATGTACACTGAGATACACACATAGGAACGCCACTCCATGTATCCAGGTGTAGCAGAGGAGTCTAAGGAAGACATAACGGTTGGAACTGAATCTCATGGCACCTTTTGTTAATAATCATCTTCTGTGTTCTGTAGGTTAGCAAAGCTCAGGAAGACTTGCTCCAGCGTTATCTGACTGATGGAATAGTCTTCTAAATTGAATTGCTCTTTGGCTTCCTCCAAAATACCAAACACCTTTAGCAACAACAACAAAAAGTGCAGTTATCATTGCAGTCCTCCCTTCCAGCCTCCAAGCCAGATGTCCCTTTTCCACTTCCTCCCACTGCTGCCAAGTTAATGGTGGAGGACAAAAGGCACAGAAGAGGGGGATGAGAAAATGGACAAATAGATAATTGAGAAACTGAGAGAAGGCAGCTCTCTGTCCTCATTCTCTTGAAGGACAAGGACTCACAATGGGATTTAGGGAGCAGAAACCAAGCAATTAAACTCTAGGGGTGTTTGAAAAGTAACCTAAAGACTCTGCTCCTCCTGCATTGCCAGAATTCTGCTCCACATGCCTGAGTATCTAATACTTCTCCCATCACTGGTCTTTCTTAACATGTAATGATAGAAAGGTATGAATTTACAGTCACCTTTCCCCAGGTATTGTCCTTGCTGGGGATGTAGTAGTTAAGGATCCTTTGATTCTCCTGCTTTAACACACTACCTAAGAAAGGAAAGATAGGATGGCTGAATCATCTTACAGATTTCTTTTAAAATTGCCAAAATATTGCTATATATACTTAATTACATGCCATAGAAAGGTGAGTGGATGTGACTAATACAAAAGGGGACATGATTGAATATCCACTCTCTTTGGTATGCATGATATGGTTAATTCTTTTCAGCAGATTTATCCTTGATGAAATAGTCTTATTATGAGGAATTCAAAGCAGTTACTGAGGGCAGGCTTTTGGGCAAAAAAAATTGTCCGCTCACATGCCCAGAAAGAATGTCACTCCTGCTGTTACTACAAGAAGGCTAGACAAATTCCAGATTACTGGCTTTTCTTAATCCCATCAGTTTTCTGATGGGACAAACTCAGGGCAAATAACTAACCCCTTATGGGAGTAGAGATAGGCATCTACAGACAGAATCATGATGAGAGCATTTGTTTATACAAGGCAGACACTGTTGGATGACATATAAGCTGGTGAGAATATATAGCTTACAGTTTTTAACAAATTGCTAAAGTTTGAGTATAACAAGGCAGTGTGTAGCCCATTCTTTTATTTTTAACCTCTCTGATTTAGTTTTTTTAGTAGTGTTTCTTATACACATCAGAGAGCTAGATTTTGCTTGTTAGCTAATATGAAATTTTTTTTCTTTAATGAAGGAATTAACCTATTTACATTTACTGAAAGTAACAGATTCAATTATAGTCCTCTTATATTAAAAATTATATATACATATACTGCATAATTATAAACACAAATATAAACATATAAAATATGACTGTATGTGTATCTTCATTATATAGTTGGTTCTCTCCATTCTTTAATCTTTTTATTTCTGATACAGGAAAATATGTATTTTTGTTCTAATGGTTAACTACATACCAATCTTTATGCTAATATCCATAAATAGTCCCCTCTTTTTTAAAGATACTGTCTTTTGTATCCCTAGTAAGAATGACATTGGATATGCTAGTAACCTCTTAGTGCCCTTCCCAGCATCTAATTCACAGTAGCACCTTTTTATTCCCACTTAACACCTAAACGGCATTCAGTAAGCATACTACTTTCCATGTTATCCTCTGCCTTCTTCCCTGCTGTTTTTGATAACTGTATTTTATACACATTTCTAAAACATATTTCATTTACATAATAATCTAGCACCTAGATCCTCTTCATTTAGGCCTCAGTCTAGAGGCAAAACACATTCAGTGCACACCTTTAGCTCTTATGCAGAAGCTTCATCAATTATTTCTCAGTAGATGTGAAAGTTTTGTTTCTTTATATATATACACACATTTTCATAATTTTTTTCATTATAGGCTATTACAAGATGTTGAATATATATATATATATATATATGTATATACCATACATTAGGACCTTGTTATTTGTTTTATATGTAGCAGTTAGTATCTGCAAATCTCAAACTCCCCATTTATCTCTCCCCCCTTGACAACCATAAGTTTGTTTTCTATATCTGTGAGTCTGTTTCTGTTTTGTAAATAAGTTCATTTGTGTCATTTTTTTAGATTCCACATATAAGTGGTGATATATGGTATTTCTTTCTCTTTCTGGCTTATTTCACTTAGTATGATAATCTCTAGGTTTATCCATGTTGCTGCAAATGGCATTATTTCATTCTTTTTTATGGGTGAGTAGTATTCCATTATATATATATAAATAGGAATGTGGCTTCAAAGTACATTCTCAATTATAAGATGGTTGCTGCCCAGTCCTTTCTCACATTATTCTTGAGAAAATAGCTATTCAAATGTAACAGAGGTAAAGTGGAACTGACATGGAATCTCTTTCCCTCTATATATAAATGTGTCACATCTTCTTTGATCAGTCATCTGTTGATGGACATTTAATTTGCTTCCATGTCTTGGCTATTGTAAGTAGTGTTGCTATTAACATTGGGGTGCATGTATCTTTTTGAATTAGCATTTCCTCTGGATATATGCTCAGGACTGGGATTGCTGGATCATAGGGTAAGTCTATTTTTAGTTTTTTGAGGAATCTCTGTGCTGTTTTTTATAGTGGCTGCACCAAATTTCATCTCCACCAACAGTGTAAGAGGGTCCCCTAGTCACCTAATTTTTTTAGCCCTTTGGATCATGGTTTAGGATTTTCTTACATAGCATCTATCCTCTTTTTAATTATTTAAAGCTCATATTGAAATATTAGGTAATAGTTTTCATCTGCTTTGTGGTCATGTATCTCTGCTGTACTTTCAATATTTGTTAGGTTTTTCCTCTTAATCTTTTTTACTTAAGATATTTTTCTTTGGGTTTCAGTCATTCATCTTTAAATGGGATTAATTTTCACATAGTTTTAGAAAAAGTTTCCTATGTAAGAGGTGGGTAGGACAGAATGTCTCTCTTAGCTCTTAGGGTTCTCTGCTGTAGTGTTCCTGACTCAGAGCCTTCTGGGATATATTAAATAATGTGGCCTCTCAGCATAGTCCTTCCTCTGGTACTATCCAATATCTGCCTCCTGTGGCTTTCTCCCCACTCCACAGTAAATTAGGGATGTTTTCCTCCAGAGAAGATCTGTGCTTGCTTTTGCTTGGAATCAGAGGATGCTACTGACCACCCATTCTGAGGTCTCCCTTTACATTGCAGTCTCAGCATGAGTTCCCCAACCCTGGAATGAGTCCAGAGTCCCATCACTGATCTCAGTGCTGACAATGTCATTTGCTTCCAGATTTGCATTTTCTTACTGCTCACTGTTTCAGCCACTATTTTCTTTCATTTTTTCCCCCTTTCTTTTTCATGTTTTTTCTCTCTCTTTTTATTTTGGTTATTAAAGAGTTTCATCACTTTTGTTTCTGAGCTGATTACTGCATTAAAAATGTATTTATTTTAATTTTTTTTTTTACCAATTCCTAGTTTTATTTTACCAGGAGTGCTTTTCAGAGTATACAATCTTCCATATTGCAAAATTAGAATCATCTTATTTGTGAATTTAAGAAAAAGAATACTTGGTCACTTAAATTTCCTTGAGATTATGTGCAATCATTTACTATGAATACTCCAAATACTGTGGTAAGTCCTCTTCAAAATATACATTCTAGATGCTTTTTGATTTTAATGTTTATTTATTCTTTTTTTTTAATCAATATTAAGGTATAGATTCCATGGCAGTTCCACTTTCCCTCTGTTATATTTGAATAGCTATTTTCTCAAGAATAATGTGAGAAAGGACTGGGCAGCAACCATCTTATAATTGAGACTGTACTTTGAAGCCACATTCCTATTAAAGCTCTTGTGTCCACATTCTTGAGAATAGATCTCTGGCTGAGGTTTAATGTTCCTCCTTCAAGCAGAACAAGTTGCTAGGACAGCAATGAGGTTGTCTGGTCACAGCTTCTCTTTGTGGTAATTTAGGCACCATGTGAAATAGAACTTGGATACAATAAATACTCAAAAACACTTGCTGAATGAATGCATAAGTGAATACTGAAGTTCTCAGTGGACATATCCATATGTATGTGTTATTGGCATGGCAAAAGCACTATGACCAAAACTGAGATATTTATTTTTCCATACATCTGTTTTCCAAATCTGCTTTATCATACATTTCTTATTTGTTTTCTGATCTCTATTCCTACTAAGTAATCAATCATACCATTTTCCATTGCCTGGAAGATAAACTTCCAACTCCTCAGCCTCACTCACAATGGGAACTTCTGTGATATTTTGCTCAGCCTGCAAAGCGAAAATGAAGGTGAAAAGCCTCCCCTCTGGGAACTACCTGTTTGTTCTCTGAATTTCTGATTCTGTTTGTATTTAGTTATGTTTGTTCATTTTCATGTTTTTATTTTCACTTATTTTGAGGTATCTTCTGATTTCTTTGATTTCTTCATTGACCTGTTGGTTCTTTAGCAGCACGTTGTTTAGTCTTCATGTATTTGTGCTTTTCTCATTTTTCTTCCTATAATTGATTTCTAGTTTCATACCATTGTAGTCAGAAAAAAATGCTTGATGTAATTTCTATCCTCTTTAATTTGTTGAGACTTTTATTTGTGTGTGTGGACTAGCATGTGATCTATCCTACAGAACATTTGAGTTCTATGTGAACTTGAAAAGAATATGTATTCTTCTGTTTTTGGTGGAATGTCTTCTAGATATCTATTCAGTTCAACTGATCCAATGTGTCATTTAAGGCCACTGTTTCCTTATTGATTTTCTATCTGGATGATCTGTCCACTGACGTAAGTGGAATGTTAACATCCCCTACTATTATTGTATTATTGTCAATTTCATCCTTTATGTCTATTATTTGCTTTATATATGTAAGTGCTCCTATTTTTAGCTGCAAACATGTTAATGAGTGTTACATACCCATCTTATATTGCTTCCTTTATCATTATATCATTGATTCCTTTCTTTGTTTTTTTTCATACTTTGTTTTAAAGTCTGTTTTGTCTGATATGAGCCTTGCTACCCCAGCTTTCTTCTCATTTTTATTTGCATGAAATATTTTTTCCATTCCCTAACTTTCAGTCTATGTGTGTCTTTAGCTCTGAAATGAGTCTCTTGTAAACTGTATATCAGATAGGTCTTTAAAAAAATCCAATTAGCTACCTTTTTCTCTTTGATTGGAGCATTGAGTCCATTGACATTTTAAGTAATTTTAATAAGTATGTACTTATCACCATTTTGTAACTTGTCTGGTTGTTTTTCTATTTATTTTCTGTTCTTTTCTTGTTCTTTCATCATTTTCCATTTTGGTTTGATGACTTCTTTTGTGGTTTGCTTGTGTTCCTTTCTAATTTTTGTGTATCTATTGTAGGTTTTTGATTTATGGTTACCATGGGTTTCGTATATGTTGACCTACTTATTTTAAACTGGCAGTCACTTAAGTTCAAATACACTCTAAAATATCTACATCTTTATACACCCCTTGCCCTTATTTTGTGTTTGTGTTGTTGTATTTCATGTTTATCCCTTGTTTATTGTGGTTATAGTTTATTTTACTTTTTTTGTTGTTTTTTGATCTTTGTATTAGCTTATTTTAAGTGGCTGATCCACAGATTTTACTATATATTTGTCTTTACTAGTAGGATTTTTCCTTTCCTGTAGATTCTTACTTCTTATTGTGGTCTTTTCTTTTCCACTTAGAGAAGATCTTTTAACATTTCAATATATGGTTCAAACCACTAACTCCCCAGGGGGGCTCTGAGCCTGTTTAATCTCCCACCTCTCTGTGTCCCCTCATGGGGACCTGACCTAACTGCTTTTCTTCCCTTCCTACCCAGTTCTGTGGAACAGTTTTACAGCTTTTGGTTGTAAAAGAATCTTTCTGCCAGTCTCCAGTTTGTCTTCTGTGAGAATTGCTCTATGTATAGATGTGTTTTTGATGTGTCTATGGGGCGAGGTGAGCTCTGCAGCCTCCTGCTCCACCATCTCAATCCTCTCCTGTTGTCTTTTTGATGTGTGAGATGATATCTCATTGTGGTTTTGATTTGAATTTCCCTCATGATTAGAAAGATGAAAAGAACATCTTTTCATATGCCTGTTGGCCATCTGCATGTCTTCTTGGGAAAAATGTCTATCCAGGTCCTCTGCCCATTTTTTAATCAGATTTTTTTGATATTTAGTTATATGAATTCTTTGTATATTTTGTATATTAACCCTCTGCCAGATTTATTGCTTGCAAATATCTTCTCCCCTTCAGCAGGCAGCTTCTTCATTTTGTTAAATAGTTTCCTTCACTGTGAAGCAGAACTGCTCTTGAAAGGAGAGAAAAGCTTAGTGATTCTTATTTGTATTTCAATATCATATTATGGCTAAGACATCAAAAGACTACAGTAGGAAAAATAATTGTGAATTGTGCTCAAAATATGACTTTAGGGATATAACTTATATGGACAGCATAAATTCAAGATCGTCTTATTAAAGTAATATGAGAGCTAAGTGAAAACCTTTTTTTGGTAAAACTTCTTAGCATAACAAGGCACAAGAAGTTGTAGAAATAAGAATCCCAAAGCAATTCAGTATGAAAAGTTAATAAATATCAATAACCCACAGGAACACATCACTGAAGACATAAAACATATGGGTGGTGAGAAAAAAAATACATGATTTAACATGTCTCTAACAAAGTTAGCCCAACATAGTTTACCTGGGAATGTCATTGTGATGAAAAATTTTAAATCATCTAGTTTATCCTCAGGTGTATCAATCTTGACCTTGACCTTCAGGATGTAAATATTGCCAAACTTACTCTTGAGGTGCTGAGGGTTACCCAAGCACATGAACTTTCCCCGTACCATAATGGCCAGCCTGGTACAGAAAGCATCACATTCCTCCATTCTAGCAAAACAAGATGACAGAACAATGTAAAGCTAAAAAGCTTTTTGGAGGACATTCTGTAGCTCAAACACAGCCAGGATTTTATGACTCTGTTTTCAATGTGAAGTGGAATTTGCCAATCATACAGTTCATAGTTGTGAAGTGAAAAATTTTCAAACAATAAAAAAGAGGATACCAAATCCTCAATATCTCCTGAACTTCTTGTTCTCTCCCTACTCTTGGTTATTTAATTCAGTGAGGATTCTTGATTGTCCTATTCATTCAGATTAACTTACATACTCAAGTATGTTCACTGTCTAATATTCTTAGCCCCAAATAATTCTCTCTTACAGCCACTACAATGCTTTCCAACCATCAACCATGCCTCCCAATGAGTCACACCTGTGGGAGGTTATAATGATGGCTGTGCCACTTTCACGTGTCTGTGTCACAGCATCCCAGAGCAAGCGTCGGCCTACTGGGTCCATGCCAGTTGATGGTTCATCCAGCAAAATGACTGAGGGTTTTCCCATTAGGGCAATTACAGTACTCAGCCTACGTTTGCTTCCTCCACTTCATGGTCATAGAAGAAGAGAGAATACAGGGGAAAGGAAGAATATACAGATCAGTTACTTATAGGAAAGAGTTAGAATTAACATCTCAGATGCTGAGAATCTCAGCAAACACTTAACATAGACAACCTCAGTTCTGATTAGATGTGTCTTCAGTAAGGTAGCAGGCCCAAGTGTAGGTGTATATATCAATTAATTTTCCTTGAAATGTAGAGGAATGACTTTTATGTAACTTATTATGTAGCATTATCAGTGGTATTTATTAGTTGTTCTTAGGGTGTCATGATTTCCCAGGTACATAAATCCCACCATAATTTGAAGGACCTACATTCCCCATTTCTTGAGAGATGAAGAACCAGGAGGAATAAAGGACCCCTTTTGAGATTCAGAGGCTACAATTCAAGTAGAGCTAGGATTTTGAGTTTTATCTCTACAAAGGAAAAACATTTTGATCTGTCTTATTACAGGTGTCTGAAACCTAGCGACTCATGAGATAGTTTCACAGTTTGATAATTATGTGACAGAGGACTTAGGTGGAGCTGTGGACATTTATTTCTAACATCAGAAACATAGGGAGGCACCTCGACATTGGCAGCAGCAACAAAACGATCAGCATAATGACTCACCTGTAGGTTCTGATAAGCTTGTCAGCATGGGGCTCCAGTTGCAGTGAATTCAACCACTTATTCACATATTGCTGAATCTGGGGCTCAGAGACTCCCCACAATCTGGCATACATGATCATTATTTCCCGACCAGTCATGTATTGCAGCAAGGCATCAGACTGAGGACAATAGCCAACTCTTGACTTGACCTGATTGCAAGAATTACCTTAATAAGGACCCAAGTCATCTAGCCCACTGAGCATCCCTAGATGATACAGAAGACCTGAAGCCCTCCGGGCCATGCCTCTAAAAGTTCTTACCAAGAATATTGTTTTCTAAAGTTTACAAAATTGTGGCCACTGGATCTATTATAATAAATTATAATAATAGGTTCCCCAACTCAATTTTAATAATCTTGAGGATAAAGAAGTTACAAAAAAATTGTAGTATCTACTGAATTTGGAGGAATATTAGAATATGAGATGTTCCCCTTACTAATGAGGAACTCCAAGGGGCGTGGTAACCATGGAAGTTTTTACATTGCAAAAGTTGCTCAGTCATGTGTAATAACTCGCGGACCAGGAGCAAAGCCTTTCCCCATTTTCACAGACAGAAGAATGCAGTGAGTGTTGCTTTACCAATTAACCAACCCTTTTGTGGCTTTACATTCAGATGCACATAGACCAGGTATTCAGAGAGAAAGAGATGAATTTTAGTTTATTAAAATGAAAATTAATTAATTAAATTAAACCATAATTAATTAAAATTATTTTAAATAATTAATTAAAAGTTATACTGTTTCTCTGGCTTTTTATTAATTAATTTAAAGTAATCCCAGACTATTTATGCCCCTAGATTCTTGCCAGAAAGCAACTCAAACCTCTTCTTCTGTCTAGGTATAAAATTATTATGCTATAGAAGTTTTGAAAATAAGTGAGCTACATACAAAGATAATTCAGTGAACAAGGGAAAAAGACACCATGAATACCACCAGCAGAAACAATACTCACCAGAAACATGTTAGTAATGACTTCAAATATTGGGTTTAGTAGATCAGATGAGAAAATGTGTTCATTTTGTTTAAATAAATTTTAAAACCTTAAATGTGTCTTCATGAAAGAGAAAAGTATCGAATAACCTAGCTATTTTGGAATTGAACCATATTTAACATCTAAAAACTTTAAAAAGTCATATTATAAGCTCTGTGAATGGGTTTGACAGCAGTTTAGTCACAATGGAAGAAATTAACCTAACATGGAGATAGGTCTTAAGAAGGTACCTAGAATTCAGTGCAAAAATAAAATGTGTAACTGAGAGCAGTATTGAGAGATAAGGATGATAGACTAGAAACCTAGTATGTGGAT